TGGGGAGGGGTGGTCAGGAGGAAACCCCTATCCCAGACTCCAAGCCTGGATTCTTTCTTGATTTTCTTTTTAGCTTTTCCTACAACACCAAATGGGCACCTCTCAAACCACCCCAATGACTTTCCACAACTTCTTTTTTCTTGAAGTATAGTTGATTTACAATGTCATTAGTTTCATATATATATATATTATATATATACTGTATATATATATACACACATGTATACACGTATATATTTATATAACCAAATCACTCTGCTATACATATGTATGTATATATACATATGTGTACATACACATATACACATATACATACATATGTATGTATACATATATACATGTAAATATGTGTATCTATCTATATATATATATATATATATACATATTCTATTTTTTGGATCCTTTTCCATGACAGTTTGTTACAAGATATTGAATATAACTCCCTATGCTATGCAGTAAATCCTTGTTGTTTATCTATTTTATATGTAGTAGTGTATATCTGTTAATTCCCTACTCCCAATTTATCCCTCCCTCCTTCTTTAGGGTTTCCCAGGTGGCTCAGCAGTGAAGAATCTGCCTGTCAAGCAGGAGATGCAGATGAAATTCCTAGGTCAGGAAGATCCTCTGAAGAAGGAAATGGCAACCCACTCCAGTATTCTTGCTGGGAAATCCCATAGACAGAGGAGCCTGGTGGGCTACAGTCCATGGGGTCACAGAGTCAGAAGCGACTAAGCATGCATACGCCTTCCCGTTTGATAACCATATGTCTGTTTTCTATGTTGGTGCGTCTGTTTCTGTTTGGTAAAAAAGTTTATTTGTACTATTTTTTAAATCTTTATTTATTTATTAATTTGTTGTTGTTGTTGTTGTTTGGCCACACCACGGCTTACAGGATCTGTTCCCTAACCAGGAATTGAACCCAGGCCACAGCAGTGAAAGCCAGGAATCCTAATCTCCAGGGCACAAGGGAATTCTCAATTTGTACTATATTTTAGGTTCCATATATAAGCAATATCACACAATATGTATCTTTTACTATCTGACTTACTTCATTTAGTATAATAATCTCTGGGTCCATCCCTGTTGCTATAAATGGCATTATTTCACCCTTTTCTTTCTTTCTTTGACTGTGTGGGGTCTTAGTTGCAGCATGTGGGATATTAGTTCCCTGACTAGGGATCGAACCTGGGTCCTCTGCATTGGGAGCACGAAATCTTAGCCCCTGGACCACCTGGGAAGTTCCTTATTTCACCTTTTCCTATTGCTGAGTTCATAGCTTTTTAAGTGTCCTTTTGCTTGCAGGTCCCAAGAATTATCTAGTCTTCCTGTCTATTGTCTGTGGCCAGCTCCAGCCCTGGGCTCTCTCCCCAGTGTGCCCAGCCTCCACAGATACAAGCACATGGACTTCATTGTTCCTTTGAGCCAACAGCTAGGACGTCACCAAAATAAAAAGCACAGGAAAGTTACAGTGCCCTAGAAAGTTCCTCACCTGTGTCCCCTCATTTCCTGTCTAAACAGAGCCCAACACAAGGTCTGGCCTGGACTTTTGTCCGTCTTGGAAGTTAGAGTTCCAAAGTTCACTCAGGTAACAGAGCACCAGGGCTTCCCAGGTGGCTCAGAGGCAAAGAATCCCCCTGCCAATGTAGGAGATGTGGGTTCGATCCCTGGGTCAAGAATATCCCTTGGAGAAGGGAATGGCAACCTACTCCAGTATTCTTGCCTGGGAAATCCCATGGACAGAGGAGCCTGGCGGGCTACAGTCCATGGAGTCGCAAAAGAGTCAGACCTAACTTAACAACTAAACAACAGAGCACTAGGATGTTATGGGCATCTGAAGGAAACATGTGACTACTGACGTTTCTAATTCTATCACAGGAAAGGAGGATCAAGGCGGTACAGGATCCTCAGTGGCTAGTGCATAGGCTCTGGTGTGTGCAAAGCTTCCATCGAATCCCACCTCCAACACTTACCAATTGTATGACCTTGGGAAGGTCACTTCATTTCTGAGTCTCAGTGCTCTGGACTGAATTGTGTCTCCCTCCAAATTCATATGTCAAAGGTTTAACCCCACATGTGATTGTATTTGGAGACTGGGCCCTTAGTGAGGTAATTAAGGGCAAATGAGAAAATTTAAAAAAAAAAAGGGTAAATGAGATCATAAGAATGGGGCCCTGGTTCAATAGGGCTGGTGTCCTTACTAGAAGAAATCAGAAATTTCTCTGTAGGGACTCCCCTGGTGGTCCAGTGGTTAGGACTTTGCCTTCCAATGCAGGGGGTGCAGGTTCGATCCCTGGTCGGGGAGCTAAGATCCCACATGCCTTGCCACCAAAAAACAAAAAACAGAAACCATATAGTCAAAGCTATGATTTTTCCTGTAGTCATGTACGGATGTAAGAGTTGGTCCATAAAGAAGGCCGAGGGCCTAAGAATTGATGCTTTCTAACTGTGGTGCTGGAGAAAACTCTTGTGAGTTCCTTGGACTGCAGGGAAATCAAAACCAGTCAATTCTAAAGGAAATCAGTCCCGAATATTCATTGGAAGGACTGATACTGAGACTGAAGCTCCAATACTTTGGCCACTGGATGCAAAGAGCCGACTCATTGGAAAAGACCCTGATGCTGGGAAAGATTGAAGATAAAAGAAGGGGGTAGTAAGGATGAGATGGTTACATAGCGTCACTGACGCAATGGACATGAATCTGAGCAAACTCTGGGACATAGTGGAGAACAGAGGAGCCTGGTGTGCTACCGTCTACAAGGTTGCAAAGAGTCAGACATGATTTAGTGACTGAACAATGATAAAACAGAAACAATACTGTAACATATCAATAAAGACTTTTAAAATGTTCCACATTAAAAAAAGAAACCTCTCTCTCCAGAATTCTCTCTCTCCCTGCATGCACAGAAGAAAGGCCATGTGAGGACACAGCAAGAAGCTGACTGTCTGCAAGCCAGCAAGAGAGTTCTAGCCAGAAATCAACCCTGACGCCACCTTGACCTTGGTCTTCTAGCCTCCAAAACAGTGAGGAAATAAACTTCTGTTGTTTAAATCACTCAGCCTGGGGTACTCTCTGATGGCAGCCTGAGCTGACTAATACACTCCTTTTCCTCATCGGCAAAGCAGGGATACAGTTAGGAACCACATCACGAGGCTATTGTGAGAATCCAGTGAGGAAATGTGTGTGTAATGCCTACCTGTTCAGCTTGCCTGCAGCACCTTCAGCACCTGGAATGGTGCCTGGTATATAGTGGACGTTCAATAACTACCTATTGAATGAATAACTACATCCATCAAGAAAGGAATCGGAGACTTCCCTGGCCATCAGTGGTTGAGAATTTGCCTGCCAATGTAGGGGACACAGGTTCAATCCCTGTTCCAGGAAGATCCCACATGCCAGGAGCAACTCAGCCAGTCTGCCACAACTATTTAGCCCACGCTCTAAAGCCCGAGCTCTGCAACAAGAGAAAGCACTGCAATGAGTAGCCCCCAATCCCCAAAACTAGAGAAAAGCACGCACAGCACAGAAGACCAGTAAAGCCAAAAATAAATTAATAAATAAATCAAAAGAAAGCGGTCAAACTAAATACAACTACGTATTTCTGCGCGCTTCAGTAACTTTCATCTCCTTGATCATCAATCACCAGTCACCAGACAGCAGGCACAAAGGATTTAAGAAGAGTGTCTGCAGGGATCGTTTCCTGTTTTTTTTTTTTTTAATTTTTATTTATTTATATATTTTTGGCTGTGCTGGGTCTTCGTTGCTGTGCAGGTTTTCTTTAGTTGAGGAGAGCTGGGGCTACTTTCTGGTTGCTGTGCACGGGCTTCTCATTGCAGTGGCTTCTCTTGTTGCAGAGCACGGGCCTGAGGGTGCATGAGCTTCCTAGGCTTCCCACAGGCTCAATAGATGTGGCTTAGTTGTTCTGCTGCATGTGGGATCTTCCCAGATCAGGGATTGAACCATTGTCTCCTGCACTGGCAGGCAGATTCTTTACCACTGAGTCACCAGGGAAAGCCCATCTCCTGTTTTTAATTGGATCTAATGCCCTTGTCTTCTGTGAACTGGGAAAGGGTGTGGGCTGGCTGATCCTGAGTGGAGTTTGAAACTCTAGGAGGAGGGGAACATTGATCTGGAAACTGGGGGGCCCTTGGTCCAGTGTTGCGGGCCAGGGCTTTGAAGAGGGAGTTCTTCCTCCCGTTGAGGGGAGGGCGGGGCAGAGGGGCTAGAGATTCAGCTGTGAGAGGCATGAAAGGGAGGTGGGGGAAGCTAGGGCTGGGCGTGACATGGGTGAAGTTAGCCTGGGGTTGGAGGCCACAGCAGGTCCTCCTTCCTGGTGCTTGGGAGATGCAAATGATAGGAACAATAGGGCCCCTGTCCCCAGGCCATTTGTGGTAGAACCTGGGCTCTGGGGAGGCAGAGCTCCTTCACCCTAGCCATGGTGAGACTTGGTTCTGGGGTAGCCTCTGATATACAGACCTGCCCGCCCTGGGGGCCCAGGACTCCGGACACTGAGAGTCATCCTAGATGTACTGATCACCCCTTTACTCCCCTCCCTGACCCTTTTCAGGAGAAGCTCAGCAGAAGAAAGGCCAGGTGAGTCCTCGGGCTCCTCTCTTTTCTCCACAGTCCTCTCGTTTCTACCTTGCTGCACCTTTCCTGGGCACAGCCATCCTTAGAGTGGTGCTGATTCTGCCTGGTCCTTCCATGACCAGCGAGATCATTCTTGTGCCTCCACTGCCCAGGGAACACAAGGGCTCCCCTGCTGCCAGCTTCCCTGGAGCAGCAATTCCTCAAGCAGTGCACCCAGGGGTATAAGCTCTGCCCCCAGACTCTTCCTCCCACTTCCCTCGTCCCAGGCTGCTGTCGCACAACTCCAGGGGGCGCCATTCACACTGCCATGTCTGTGAATGTTCCTGGGATGTGTGAGGTCTGGCTGACACAAACTCAGGGCCCCTTGGGCAGAGCTGACTAGAGTCCAATTGCAGGTCGGGGCCACCGCTTCCACCTCCAAGATGTGCAAGTAAGTGATCACCCCCCCCCCCCCCCCAGATGTGTAGTGTGTGCATGTGTGTGCACTCAGTTGTGTCTCACTCTTGGTGACTCCATGTACTGTAGCCTGGGATGTGCAGAGGTCCCTTCAGAGTCTCTCCTGGGGGTTCTGGATACCTCCTCCTGCCCATTATAGTTCAGCGCTTCTAAGTTACTGGGCCTAGCTCTTTCATCTGTCTGGTTCACAATTAGAGCTGCATGGGGTGGAGGACTGGCAGGCTTCCCAGGTGGCGCTAGTGGTAAAGAACCTGCCTGCCAATGCTGGAGTTGTAAGAGGCATGGATTTCATTCCTGGATTGGGAAGATCTCCTGGAGAGGAGGGCATGGCAGCCCACTCCAGTATTCTTGCCATGGACAGAAGAGCCTAGTGGGCTACAGTCCTTGGGGGTCACAAGGAGTCAGACATAACTGAAGTGACTTGGCACGCACGCACGCATGGGGTGGAGGACAGGCATCGGTGGAACAGGCCGTTAGAGCCCCTTATCTCCAAAATGCCTCACTGGTCCTACTGCAGTGTTGGAAAAGCCCATCATGAATGGTTCCTTTGAGGCCTCTGGAAAACTGCAGATAGTTTATTATATCTGGGAGAGAGAGCAAGTCTTTATGCTAGAGAGGGGCTGGGTGGGGAGGAGATGAGGCCAGTCTCACCAATCTCCTGTTCAGACTCCCAAGCTTGGAGAAAAGATGAACCCTGCCCATCTCCTCTGTCTGTCCCAGGGACCTGGAGACACAGGGTAAGTCCAGCTGCTGAGCCGGAGCTGGTGGGTGGGAGGAGGTAGCGGCTGCTGCCACTGCTCCTGTATCCCTTCTATCCTTCCTGTGCTCAGCATCCCTTCCTGGAAGCCCCACAGGAGGAGGAAGAGGAGGAGGATAAATATGAGCTGCCCCCCTGTGAGGCTCTGCTCCGCCACCTTGCCCCTGCCCAACTTTCTGGCACTGAGGAGGACTCTTTGTACTTGGGTGAGGGCTGGGAAGTTGAGGCAGAGAGGTAGGGATCAGGCAGAACGGGAGGGTCCCCACAAGGGGAGAAGGCCCAGGTTTTGCTTCGTCCCCTTCTGTTTGGCCTGGGGCAGTGAGGGGAGGTCTCAGCTGGCAGTCACTGAGGCCTCTTGGCTGGGCATAGAGGGATGGAGGAAGGGAGGGAGGAGGGGAGAGGAAGGATGAGTGGGAAGGGGTGACAAGCCTGGAGGGGCAGTGTAACCACGGCAACAGCGGGAAAGCAGGAGGCCTGCCAGGGTCCCTGGGGCCTGGCGACCCCCCTCCGAGATCCCTGTACAACTTGGAGCCAGGGTAGGGATGCCAGGAGAGTCCCAGTCGCTGCTGGCATCCCACCCCCACAGCGCCCAGCTCGGTCAGGTGGGGGAAGGGAAGCTGGCCGCCTCCAGTTGCCATGGTGACGGGCAGTCGGGAAGCCAGAGAGCAAGGGAGGGGAGGGAGGGAGGGAGGAAGGAATAGAGACTGGGTGAGGGGGCCAGAGGAAAACAGGAACCTACGTGGGAGGAGCCCACGGAGTCACAATGTTGGAGTGTTTTCCAGATCACTCGGTTCCCCTGGGCCCTCCCACATCACCACTGCCACCACCACAGCCCCAGCCGGAGATGGTACACAGCCTCCCTGCCCGCCCCACCCCAGCATACCATTTTCCAGTGAGTAAATCTAAGAGGCAGCCCATATGCAAGATTCCCCCACATCTGCATTCAAGAGGCCCCTGAAAAATTAGCTGCATCAGAAGCCAGGGCCCTGTTGAGAGTGGCTCCTCCCACCTGCCTGGTCTGGTCCTTGCACCCTCCCCAGCAGCATCACCTAAGACAGCCTTCTCGCCTGGGCTGGGAGTGGGGAGTAGTGGTGGGTGGATGCGCTGAAGCTCTGCTACCTCTCGAAGCTGAGGGCTCCTCAGGACCCCCCACCCCCACCCCCGCCTGTGGAGTGAAGAAAGCCCTCGCTCAGCTGCCAGTCACTGCCAGCTGTCATCCCTCCATGATCCCGGGTGTGGGCTTTGAGAGCTGCCACTTTCATCCTATGTTGTATGGGAATAAAAAGAGGTTCACAACAAAGAAAGCCACAGAAGAGAGGCAAAGAGGAGAGCCACCTCCTTTGCACATTAACGCTTGTGTTGTAGTTTTTTGGGGCAGGAGCTTTCCTGGTAGCTCCATAGGGAAAGAATCTGCCTGTCAATGCAGGAGGCCTGGCTTCAGTTCCTGGGTTGGGAAGATCCCCTGAAGGAGGGCATGGCAACCCACTCCAGTATTTTTGCCTGGAGAAATCCATGGACAGAGAAGCCTGGTGGGCCAGTCCACGGGGTCAGAAGAGTTGGGTATTTTTTTTTTAAGCTGCACAGATATACACAGTCCTTCTGCAGCCCACCCTGCTAGTCTTGCCCTGCTGATGCTGCTGCTCCCTGAACCCCATTCTCTCTCACACCACCACACTGTGCCCACAGCCCAAAGCAGCGCTGAGCCCACTGGAGGCCCTGAAGCAGAGCTGGCCCTTTGGAAGGCGAGGTAATAGAGATGGCCAGTCTCGTTCCAAGGCCCACCCATTCCCTGCCCTGAGAAGGGGAATCCTGGCTTCCATGAGGTTAGGGAGAAGAGTGGAGCTGGCCTCACGCTTTGCCCAGTCATTGCATCCCCCCAGTTGTTCATCATTTTTACCTGCTGATCCCCCTAGGGCAGGCAGTTTGGGAGGAGGCTGAGGCCCTCACTCAGAGTCCCTGACTCCTCAGCCCCTTGGGCACCTTCTGAGGTCTCTGGGTCATGTGAGGGGCACCCTGGGGTATGAAGTAAAGCGATTAGGGGTGAGGAGGGCTTTCTCCTGGGACTTCAAAGCTGGCTTTGAGGATCCCCTCAGAGAAGCTCCAAGGAAGCTCTGCTCTTCCAGCCTAAGTTTCACTGAATTCCTTTCTCCTTGCTGCTCCTGACTGGTGGATCTCTCCTTTTCCTACCAGAACTGGGTGAACCGGCCCGAGCGGTGAGTGGCCCCTCACTCTAGGGCTGTGGTTAGGAAGTTGTTGGTGGTCGTGGGGTGGGGTGGGAGGGCCAGGAAACATCCCTAAAACCAGGGGAAAAGGCCTGGAGCAGGACCCTTCCCCTTTGGCCAGAGGCTCTGGCAGGGCATCAGCCAGTGTCCTGGGGAGGTGTCTGCCCAGAGCTCATCCTGGACTCTCAGGCTCTCTGAGCCCAGGATGGGAAGGAGGTGCTCATGGGTGCCCTCTTCCGGGCAAAGGAGCACTTTTAGTCATTCGGATTCCACTTAGGATGGGGGATGGGGGGGGGGGTGAGGCACCAATAGCTCCCCCAAGTGATGGCTTTGTCCTCCTTACCACTCACTGCTGAGACCCTGGGTACCATACTCCCTCCCTATCTTAGGTGCCAGGCCCTGCGAAGGAGCCCGATGAGGACATCTATGTGGAGTGTGAGCGCAGTCCAGGTGAAGCCCTCCCTCCACCCTGGCCCGCCCTGCCCTGAGACCCTCGGCTGCCCGCCAGCAGCACAGCACAGTCTTCTGGCTCCATTGTCTGCCCCATCCTCTCTCAGTACCCCAGCAACACATATCTGCCTTCAGACACACACACGCACAGATGCCTCTGGTCTAGAGTGACCCACACTGTACCTGCCAAGGAGGGGACCCCCTTAGAGCAGGGGCTGTGGGGGCTTCCCAGTTGTGGCCAGGACAGTGTGCTGCCTGGTTGGACAGACTCCCCAAAGGTCAGGCTGCAGAGAAGCAGAGAAGACTCTGCAGCTGCCCTCCAGCCCCGCCCAGCCTCCCAGAGTTCCCTGCTTGATGCTCAGCCCTGCTGTTTTAGCCCCAGCCTTTACTCACACTCTGAGTTCCCCAGTCCTGACAGCCCCAGTCCTCCTACCAAGGATATCCGTGGGGACCAGGTGAGTGCCCCAAGTTTGTATGTGTGTGAGAGGGGGGGGCGTGGAATGGCCAACCCAGGCTTCCCCAGCCTTGACCCTGAGATCTCTGGGGTCACTGAACGTCTTCTTTTGAAGGCGGTAAAGGCCCTGAGCCCTTGTTTCCCAATTTGCTCCCCACAGGCCCACCAAAACCCCCCAAGAAGCTCAGAATGTAAGAGGCTGGGGTTGGGGTGGAGTTGGGGCGGGGGGCGCGCGGAGGTGAGCTGGGAGTGAGGGGGAGAGGGAGGTTCAGAGTGGGACTTCCCACCCAAAGGAGCAGTCCTGACTCAACATTCTGTGTCCTAGGGAGCATCAAAGGCCACCTCTGAAGGTGAGTACAGGCGTTGCCAGCATGGACCCAGACACTCACGTGGGGCCCTCCCTAGCCACAGCCCTGCAGGCCACAGACTGCCTCCCAGCCCCCCTGCACCCTGCTTGGTTGAGGGGGTCCCTGCAGCTCTGACTCCAGCTGAGAGCAGGTCTGAGAGGACCCCCCTGGGCATTTTTCAGGGTCTGTACCGAATCAGGAAGCTCCCAGCCCGTATCGTAACATCACTCCTCACTTGGAGGTCACGCGTGGCCCAGCCGGTGGGTCCTACCGGGAGCCCTAGGAGGGGAGGGGTGAAGCACTGGCTGTCCCACTTTGGCCTTCAAGCCTTTGCGCACCTCCTGGGACCTCCCCCACCCTCGCAGCTGGGCCCAAAGCCTCCCTGGTCTAATCCCTGGCCAGCCCCAGGGCTATAATCTGCTTCTTCCGGCAGAAAGAAGAACCTCTCTTTCTTCTATAGCCGCCGCCCAGAGCACCTCAACTGCCCAGGTGAGGAGGGGCTGCGAGTGAGCTGTGGGGCAGAGGGGAGGACCTCAGGAGCAGAGCCCAGGTCCACACCCAGCAGCCCTCTTGGGCTGGATGTGTGTGCGCGGCTCTAGACAGGACATATTTTGTTGAGCTTTCGTGGACTCAGCCTGGGGAAGACCGACAGGAACACAAATAACTGCACGCCGCCAGGGTGTTCTCTGCTCCCCATCCCCAATCTGGTGCCCTGGCATATCACTGATCTGCTGGGTGTGTGTACAGGAAGGCAATCTGCTGGGTCAGCCTTGGTACTCAGGGAACTGTGACCGCCATGCTGCTGAGAGCGCCCTGCTCCGACGCCAGAAGGTGGGCCACCCACTGCAGACCCCCGGGGCCTTCTCAGAAACCCCTTCTGCTCAGGGGCTGTGGCTGGCAGGTGGGAGCAGCTGGGCAGGGATTGGAGTCGGGGCTGCAGCTGGAAAGGTGAGGCTGATGGGTGGGCGCTCCTCCCCAGGATGGAGCCTACACCGTGCGCCCCAGCTCAGGCCCTCGTGGCACCCAGCCCTTCACCCTGGCAGTACTTCTCCATGGCCGAGTCTTCAACATTCCCATCAGGCGGCTGGCTGACGGGCGCCACTATGCCCTGGGCCGGGAGGGCAGGAACCACGAAGAGGTGGGTGCTGAAGTGGTGAAGCTCATTAGAGCAGCCCCTGGGCCCAGCCAGGAGCATTTCCCTGGGGAAAACCCCACATTTTGTCTGGAGTGGGTGATCAATCAGTTCAGTTCAGTCGCTCAGTTGTGTCTGACTCTTTGCAAACCTATGGACTGCAGCATGCCTGGCTTTCCTGTCTATCACCAACTCCCTGAGCTTGCTCAGACTCATGTCCATCGAGTTGGTGATGCCATCCAACCATCTCATCCTCTCCAAGGGTGATCAATATCCTTGGCCATAAGTCTGAACTCTTTCCCAAATCCTGCACTTTGAGAAGAGGCCCACTCTACTCTGGAGGAGATGCCCCCTCCTGCAAGGCCCAGCCTGCCCAGGGCTCTCAGGTCAAGGCATTTGTACCTGTATGAACCCAGCTGGGAAGAGGGCAGGGATCAGGTAGTCCAGATTCTTGTCTGCACCAAGAACTCAACTTTGCACCCAGCATCTGCTAGGGTGCGAACCAGAGACAGTCACTCCTCAGGTCCCCATACCTGAGTTCCCGGGCAGAGGCCCCAGAGTTGTTTGG